AGCTAATTTTTGTATTTTTAGTAGAGACGGGGTTTCACCATGTTGACCAGGATGGTCTCGATCTCTTGACCTCGTGATCCACCCGTCTTGGCCTCCCAAAGTGCTGGGATTACAAGCATGAGCCACCGCGCCTGGCCAAAATACAGAATTTTCTATTGATTTTACCATCTTTGTGTGTACTACTTTAGCAAATCATTTAATATGAATAATATAACCTTTCTCTTTAAAGATTGCAAAAGTGGTACAAAGAACTTTTATATATTCCTTACCTGAATTCACAGATTTTAACTTTTTACTCTATTTGTTTTATCATTTCTAGTCTCTCTCCTGCATATGCATATAGTGCACATACTTAGGTATTTACTTATAAATATACATTATTTCATACACAATTGTTATAAACCATTTGAGTGTTGCAGAAATCATGCCCCTTTAACCCTAAACACTTCAGAACAATTATATGATATTGTTATCTAATTTACAGTTTTCATTAGAATTTTGCCAGTTGTCCTAGCAGTATCATTTATAGTATCTTATTCATATAGTCCAAGGTCACACATTGCATTTAGTTTTCATGGCTCTTTAGCCTCCATTAATCTGTAATGGTTCTTCAGGCTTTCTTGCAGTCTTTTGTAACAGTGACACTCTTTAATGCAGGCCATTTATGTTGTAAAATATTCTTCATTGAATTTGTCTGGTGTTTCCTCCAGATCAGATTCCAGTTATACATTTTGGTAGGAATACAGAAGTGATACTATGTCCTCTTCATTGCACCATATCAGGAGGCACAAAATGTCATTTTGTCTAATTGCTGATGGTATTAACTTTGGTCGAAGTATTGTTTCATAAATGCTTTTGTAAGCTTAAAAATACTTGTGGTTCATTCATTTTTTCTTTTGTCTTCTCTTAAGAACTGCTTCTGGTAGAAATCTCAGAATAGTGAGACATAGCTTTCGTAGGGAGGAATGTATTACTGAATGCCTGTTCCGTGCTAAGTACATCCTATGTTAATATTTCCTCACAACAATTCTTCCTTTATTAGTATACAGTGTGTGTCAGGCAGGCATACAAGAAGCAATTCCTTCCCTCAAAGAATTCGTAGTCTGGGGGGGAAACACAAATTGTAATGCATAGTGGTCTGCACCAGGAGAATGGAATACATGGGGTGCTATGGGAGCATTCGGAAGGGGTCCCTAAGTCAGCATGAGGGGCCTTCCCTTCATCAAGGATGACATCCTAGAGTCAGTAAAGCTGGAGCCAGTGTTGAAGATGATTGGGAGTTCATGAAAGGAGAGAGAAAATTGTGGGCCATAGAAATGAAAAGCATGAGAATCTGAGAGAACATAGTGCATGGCTTGTTCTAGGGTTCAGAATGGTTTTAGGATGGGCCAAGACTATTGTGATACGCTTAGGAAGCCCAGGAGAATAGGTTGAAAAGGTGGGCATAATCCAGAGCATTGGGACCTCTGAGGTTTGTAAGGAATGGGGATAGAAGATCACTCATCCATTAAACAGATATGTATGTAGTGAGCATTTGCTGTGTTCCTAGCCTTGTTCTAGGGACTGGGAATAGGTCCATGAATACAAAAAATTAAGCTCCTGTTCTTAAGGAGTTTGCACGTTTAGATCACATTTTGAAAGATCATGTCATCAGTAATGTAGAAAATAGATTAGAATAGAGGCACAGACAAGTTAAAAAGGAGTTAGATAACCCTACTCTATAGTTATCCCCACTTTGTAGACTTTTAAAAAATTGCCTCTATTTATAATGTCACAAAATTAGAACTAGAAGTAGTGCCCTAGATAAATATCATTTATGCCACTTACACTGTGAATTTGAAGTATCTGATATACTATGTAAGCCATTTAAGATCATTCAGTTTCTTTTCTTCATGTTACAGAATCTGACAGTTCATAGTTATTTCTTAGAAATGTTGATCCTTAAAAGGAATCTAACAGATTTCCCAGGACTTCTACATATTACTTGGTTCTTTCTCTTCATGTCTGTGATGTATAATTAATCATAGATTACTTCATTTTGTTTCATTTCATTTACAACATTTATGAGCTTCACTTTGTCAGTCTGAAATGCTTGTCCCCTCCTTTCCTTTCCAAAGTGGCATAATTAGTGTTAGCATCTTTTTTAACAGGCTACATAAAGTTTAGTGGCTGGATTAAATCAAGTCATTAACATAATGTGCCACCCAATTTGCCCCTATCTCTCTTCGTTTCCTGGACATCAAAGTGCCACATAGAGCAAGTGTAATTGGGCCTTGCTGGCCTGTCAGATTCCGTCAGTGTGACAACTGCTGCTTTTACTAAAAAGCTTCTAGGCATGATAATTAATGGCGAGGGTGGGGGGCAGAAGTC